TTACATTTTTCCGGTAAACCGAAACATCCACAGATCGCTAGATGTGGCCACAACAGTCTGAGGGTGAGTAAAGTAGGTACAGAAATAACACGCGAGCGTGTGTTACAGCAAAGCCCGCCTCCACCTAGCCAAGTCTCAAGCTTGTACGGAAAGAACACTAGGGGACAGTGATTCCCGAAGCCTGGGAGCAAACAGCTAAGTCCCAGTTCTTAGCCTGAGAGAAGCCACAAGGTGGGGAGAGGCCCAGGACTCCGGTGGAAACCCGGGAGTCTGTCTGGGTTTTAAGAAGCAGAAGACAGAGTTCAGGGCAAGCACGGCCACTGCAAAATGAGGAGGGAGCCCTGCAAAGCCACAGACCGGGGCCCCAGGTCTGACTGTGACCTCTGCCCGTTTCTGGCTGTGTGCAGGGCAGACCACAGCCGATGAGACCTCAGCGGCCGCCGAGAAACAGCGTCTGCAGGTCGAGTCCAACCCAACCGACTGATGAACCACAGAATCGACACTCCCCGCTCCGACGTATTGAGGAATTGGGGGCGGGGGGTGGGGGGCGCCCGTTGAAAATGTGGATTCCCAGTCCCTACCCACAGATCTGCAGAATCAGAATCTCTTGGGTACAGTGCCTCGACTGTGCGCTTGTAACCAGCAGCCTCGATGACTCAGACACACGAGAGTTTGTGCTTCGCGGCTCTGAGCGCTGGCACGGTCCACATCTCATGCTTAGCTTTTGCCAAAACAGGCTGCGCTTGAGGGTGCGGCGTCTGTCGTGGCCAAGGAAGTCTGTCATCTGCCAAGATGTGTCAGCTGCCTGAATCCTCGCTGCCGGCCACACGAAGCTGAGAGGTCATTCGGAAGCACGGAGGAGATGCTTCTCCCCGAAGAGCATCACGGAAACCTCCTTGATATGGAAGAGCGCCATGCAGAGACGGGACAGCCGTCCGTCAGCATGAGGCCTTCCCCGCTGCCATCTTGGACTCCCCGTACTCCCCCCCCCCCGTACCCCGGTGCTTCTCCCACTTCACTGAAAGCAGCTTTTGCAAGTCTTGAGCAGATAGGTGTTAAAGACCTGCTGGGGTTCTCGCAGGCCAGCAGGCATCTAGCAAGCTGCTTGGCTCAGGAAGGTGAGATACCGGTCATTCGTGTCTGGCACCCTGGTCGCCCCATTTAGTTGTTTCCGTGGCTGTATGTGCCAATTATAAAAACACTCACAGAAAACAAAACAAGGAAGCAACTTGCAATCAACACGACGGACATAGCAGCGATGTCTGTCACGCAGTTAATCTCCCCACCCTGGTCATTGTGACTGACGTGTCTGATTTTACCAAGGAGCAAAGGGGGCCCTGTCTCCACGAGTGTCCAGTGTCCTACAATTGTGGCAAAACTGCCTTGGAACTCCCAGCCCTCACGTCTGTCAGCCAAGCGACCCCTCTCTCAGGATGAATGCAATGGTTACTAAAGAAAAAGTAGGCATGGGATATTCTAAATTTTCAATTAGTGGGCTCTTCGTGGAAACCTGGTAAGCCTTGAAATATGTAGAGTTTTTTGAAGGATTAAAACATACGGTGGACTAGAATTCCTCACCCATTCATTTGGAAAACTACTTGCTAAGAATGTTCTCCAATCCTAAATCTGGGAGCTGATCTAATTAAGTGATCCCAAAGCCAGGCTACAGCCGGAAAACAGACAAATACATTTTAATCAGTTCTAATTTAACATTAAAATAGCAGGAGAGATATGGTGGTGCATATGAGATGGGGAGAGAGAGAGAAAAAGGTAGAGACATCAAGATATACACATATATATGTCTATTATAATATCTATTATATATTATATACAGTAGACAGATATATCTTATCTTAGTAGACATATATATTACATATAGTAGACTTAAAAGTATAGAGAACTATATATATCCTAATTCAGATGCCCCTTGCTACAGGTGTATGCAAAATTAAACAAATGAAGAGAGCAGTTTCCCATCGGGACCGTGTTTCTGTTTTAGAACAGAGACAGACAAATTGTGACTTTAGAGCTCAGTTTTAATTAAATCACTGAGGCTTAGAGCCTTACCAACTCTGAACGCCTGCCCCTCTTCCCCCAGTCTGGGTCTGCACATCCACACAGATAACACCACAACTGGTAAGTTGCTTTCTTACCTAGTTAGCATTAGCCAAGGTGTTGGGTTTTTCTTTCCTATTTATGTATTTCTACCAAAACAATGAATACACAAGGTTCCGAAATTTACAAGAACATATAAAACAGGCTTGCCCTTGTTCAAAGCTAACTGCTATTAACAAACTCATGTACATGTTTATCCTCCCAAAAATGTCTATTTATATCAGCATGAAAGTATATCCTTATGTAACTTCTGAGACACACGCTCTTCTATATGTATTTATATATGTGTGCATATATGTATGTGTGTGATATATATGTATATTATACACACACAATTCTGAATTCTTTTTCATTATTTTCATTAAAGATATTTTGAAAATTTTCCATATTTTCACTTAGAGATCTACATTATAGATCTACCTCGTATTTTTTCAGCTTCATTGAGATGTTACTGGCATATAACATAAGTAAGTTTAAAGTATACAATGTGACGATTTGATACACTTATATATTGAGACCTACCTCATTTTTTCAACGTTTTTTATTTATTTTTGGGACAGAGAGAGACAGAGCATGAACGGGGGAGGGGCAGAGAGAGAGGGAGACACAGAATCGGAAACAGGCTCCAGGCTCCGAGCCATCAGCCCAGAGCCCGATGCGGGGCTCGAACTCACGGACCGCGAGATCGTGACCTGGCTGAAGTCGGACGCTCAACCGACTGCGCCACCCAGGCGCCCCGAGACCTACCTCATTTTTAAGGCTGCATAATATTCCAGAGTATGAATGTATTAGAATTTAGGCATATATTGGGTTCCAGACTTCTAATGTTAAACATCTTGTAGATGTTTTTTGCACATTGGTGCTGATGTATTTGTGAGACTGAGAACTGGAAACAAAATTGCTGCGTCAGGTGACATTTATAATTTTACCATATAAATTACCTGCCGAGGGTAATAGCTATTTACAGTCCTACCGGAAGTATGTGGGAATTCCTATTTGCCCTCAGCCTTGCTAGTGCATCACCCCCACCATCCTCTCCTGCAACACCATTTCCCCCCCACCCCTCTCTGCTGGGTCATTCATCAGGTTCCCCCTCTACTATTAACACTTGTCTGCTCTTTACTTCTAAAAAAAAAAAAAAAAAAAGTTGTCTATACTGGCAGTCTCCGTCTCTCCCCGTTCTCGTCCATCCTTAAATTCCTGTTATGGAAATTCTTAAGCATGCATCAGAGTAGAACAGAATAATAACCCCCGATATAAGCCCCTCTATATCTGTCACTCAGCTTCAACATAACATTCTGCTCATTTTATTTATTTCCTGCCCTCTTTTTCCTAAGTATTTTCAGTCATAAATTCGACCACAAAGACTTCAGTGTGTGTGTCTAATAGATAAGGGCTTAAAAAAAAACCAAATGTAGTCACTGTATCATTTTACCCACCATAATTAATAATTATTTAATATCATCTGATATCCAAGCCATCTTAAATTTTTCTGTCTCAAAGAAAGTCTAAGATGGTTTTGTTCAAATCAGGATGCAAACAAGTTATGTTTCCTAGTCTTTAAGTCCAACCATCCATTGTCTTTATTTTACACCTGCAATTTGTTGAAGAAACTGGGTAATCAATCTGTCCTGCGGAATTTCCCACATTCTGGATTTCGTGTGTTGACCATGTTCTTCAATATCCCACACCTTTACGACCTGATCTTCCGACGTGGAGGCTTGATTACATTCACGTTTTGTTTTGACCAATAATTCAACACCGCCGGTGTTGGGTCCTTGCTATTGCAACACATTGGAGGCATTAACCTCTGGCTGTTCCTTTTTTAGTAACACTCAGATCGATCACTGGGTTCACATTTATCAACCCGAGCCATTCAACAAAACGTTTCCCGTCAACCTTTCACCTTTCGGCAGTCTAGGTCCATTATTTCACTAGAAGTGACAAAATGGTGCTTTCTTAATCCTATCATTTCTCTGACATCTAGCTAGGACTCTCACGTGAAGAACTTTCCCTTATCAGGTCAAGTGGATCCACAAAATGCTCAGGGTAAATGCTTTGTTTTTCCAGTTAGCAATTTTCAAAATAATGGGTTGGAGCCCTAGTCATCTCCAAATAGTTTGTTTTTTTAAAATATTTATCTACTTTGCAAGGGAGAGTGAGTGGGGGAGGGGCAAAGAGGGGGGAGAGAGAATATCCCAAGCAGACTCTGCACTGTCAGCACACAGCCTGACGCGGGGCTCGAACTCATGAACTGTGAGATCATGACCTGAGCTGAAACCAAGAGTTAGACTTAACCGACTGAGCGGCCCGGGCGCCCCTAGTTTTGCTGTTTTAACCATCATTGTGACCTCGTGCATCTTTCTGCATTTCTCATTTCACTCCACTGTTTTTTTTCCTAGTGTTTATTTTTGAGACAGAGAGAGACAGAGCATGAGTGGGGGAGGGGCAGAGAGAGAGGGAGACACAGAATCCAGAATCCGAAGCAGGCTCCAGGCTCCGAGCTGTCAGCGCAGAGCCCGGCGTGGGGCTCGAACCCATGAACCGTGAGATCATGACCTGAGCTGAAGTCAGATGCTTAACCAACTGTGCCACCCAGGTGCCCCATATACAGAGGCGTTTCAAAAGTGTTTTCTAAATTATATTCTGAAACCAACTCTAGGAAAACTTTGTTCTGAAAATTCGTTTTAGAAGGAAGCAGACATCCCACTAAGGGAGGCACTAAGCCAGGAACAGCCGTGCGTGGCGGTCGGGGTCCCGCACAGCAGCCTTCCCTCCCAACGCCCACCAGTGTTCCTTCCCGCACACCCACTGGATCCATGGTCCTACAGTAACTCGTGTAAACAGACCGGGCCACACCAAAACCCCAAGAAAAATACAGCAGCTTTGTGCAACTATCACAGTAAAATTTATTCTGTAAAATACAGTTAAAGTACACTGTGCATAATTTAGCAAAGATCAAATACTGTAATAGGATTTTTTAAGAAAACATTTAGCACCCACTATATTCTCAGGAATTTTGAGGACCGTGGCCGTCTCTGCTCGCTCAATTTTCACAAGGTTACATGTTGTACAAACTAAGGGAAAATTCAACTTTTAAGAAGTCTGACAATATTTTTCAAATAAAGCAAAATCAGTTAGCAGGAAAATAAGTTCCACCTGACATCTGGGTACATCTTTCCCCCGAATCACCTGGCATGTCGTGGCCAGAAACTCCACTTGCTAAGTGAACTAGTAGCTTCCCTCCAAGGGTTGGGACCAAGTTTCCTTCACAGAGATCCTCCTGCACCATGAATGAAATGAAATGAAATGAAAACTGTCATTTGCCCAATTAAGAGAGACTGCAGAGCGTGTCAAAAACGCAAAAACAGTCCCCAAATTATCTGTACCACTTAAAGGTTTGGAGCTAGCCCTCAGAGACACTAACTGCAAAGTACGGACTACTTTTGTTCATCAGGCAGAGAGCTCGGGCAGCGTGCCTGGGCTCTCGTGTTACCTTTGGCCGTAAGCTAGTTTGGGTGCCAAGTGAGACAAACTGTTCGCTGGGAACTATCTGTCGTGCTTCAGTACAATTTGCCTTTTCCTTAGTAGGGAAGGTAATGTTGAAAACAGAACATTCGGTCTTCCTGGCAGTTAATCAACAGGATACAACCTTACGTTTCTTAACTATAGATTTCCCAATTAACCATTTAAAAAAGGTAACAGTCAAAACCATTAAACCTTTCTTTGCTCTAGTTCACTGTTTTTATTTATACAACCACCTTTCTCCCAGACAAGCAATGTTACTGGAACGTAAGGCCAAGATGCCTTGCTGCTCACAATCCTATTCCACTTTCTCTTTTGGAGCGTCTTCTCAGCAGCCAGTTACCACATGGTAATTTTCACAGTTTCAAAGTTCTCCTCGTTTTAAAACAGCGACAAAGTGTTATACTTGATGGTAGTTATGGTCAAATAGTTCCATCAACCTTGTACAGTTTTTATAATATAACTTCAAGTATGTGCATCATTTCATCAACACAAACCTCAAAAATGAAAACCAAAGAACCCCAACCACCTAGTGCCATCTCCTTCTGGTGCCTTGGGACATAAGAGCACCACCTGTTTGTCTATTTCAGTGGTTAAAACGTAATCCCGTCTTAGCACCATCTACAAGAGTTAGAGGTTAATGACAACGCATGATGGCTTACCGGAAGGTAACAGTCTTAGTATCCCCTCAGAAGGAAGTCTCTTCCTTCTGCTGCAGCTGGCTCACAGAAAAGAGTATTAACGGGGAAGAAAGGACAGACTTCTAGCTAGGGCTGTGCAGTACTTAAGTCACTTAAGTATTAATGTCGTGTTTCCCTGTAAGTACACAATCATACCAGATATAAAAGAGTTCAAGGAATTATGTTGTTGAGATACATCCGGATGAGCCACATTTAAGATGTTGACCATGGCTTTGCAGCCTTACATAGAGGACAGAGGAAAAGCACAGAAATTAATGCTGGTGATCAAGTCCCATCTTTTTAAACCAAAATCTGTTTCATCAGCACTCCATTTCAAAAACAAAGTGGAGGACTCTAAACAACTGATCGATTTTTACACAAAATTGTGATTACCTAGATCAGTCATTAGACATGGTAAATACAAGCAAAGAAAATAAAGTGCACCTTTCCAGGATATAAAATTATAGACCCAGTAGTCACGTTTTTAATTGGCAACACAGACTGAAATATAAAAAGTACTAGACACAACGAAGCTAGATAGAAAGTAATTACATTTCAGTGAAAAGTGACAATCTGTCAGTACAGCAGAGGGACAGATAACCTTTTATTAAAGCTATTAGGTTTGGAGACTCTTGAATATTTTGATTTTGCATAGGAGAAAGGAAAGCCATTCTTCTAGAAGGCACTAACTGATTTAAATGTGCAGGCAACTCCACAAAGAAGGTGTGTGCGAAGGACAGTCGAGAAGACCGCTTGGTCTTCTGCTGTAGTCCTTACTCTGCATGGTGGACTGTGCACTATCGCGGAGGCACCGAATCGGTCTGCAGGCTGCCCCACGTCCCCGCCAGTACGCTCAGTCGACGGTCTCACAGATCTCCTTGACCTTCTGGTTGAAGTCTTCCGGTTGATCTGCATACACATAATGCCCCGCCCCGAGAATGGCCTGGGAAAGAAAGGAAGGCGTCAGGAGGTCGGTGAGCAAAAGCATTTAAAAAAACACGATGACATACACAAGGCACCTAGCAATGAAAGGGAGAACAGCCATACAGAAACAAAACCTAAGAGGATGAGCAACACTGATCTGCAGTAACTTGTATGTATCTCCATCAACTAAAGAATCTGAGACTAAAGGGAAAGATCTATTGGACCTTACTACAATTTTACACCAAGAGCCATTCTAAATTGACCTGCGCCAGCAGATCGAATGAACCGAGGGAGAACGTGCTGCCTGGTGAGGGGGGAGCTGGTCAGGGGCCACCGGAGTGTCCTTCTCCCGCTTGGGAGATGCCACAGCTCTGGGGACAGGCCAGGCTGGCCTGGACAGGTGTGCGCGTCAAGCCCTGCCCGTCGTCACACGTGGCATCGGGTCCTGACGGAGGCCCTGAAAGCTCGGGGATGATGCGGAATCTCCCCGCAGGCCGACGCAACGGAGCAGGCTGCACCTGGAAGCGGAAGCCCAGACGGAGCCACACACTTACGATCGTCTTCACATATGAATGTGGCCGCAAGGACTGGATGCTGGTGCCAGAATTGCCATCTATGCAGGATCGGGCGCCATAGATCACCGAAACCGGAATGTCAGGGTGCATTTTGCCAATTCGCTGGAGCATTGGCCTTTTTGCCCATCCGTAGGGAATGGTCATATTTTTGAACGCGGTCTCACCACTTAAGGAAAAGGAAAACAACGCACATGTGACTTCGGGGGAGGAGCATGCATCGCACTCCCACCGTCTCTATCAAAACACTCATATTTAACCTCTCCCGAAGAAAAGCCTCAAACAGAAAATGACTCACTAGAAAGTGTAAGAAACAAACCCCACAGAAGGTACACGCTTTTGTTAGATAAACAAGATTTTCTCAACTCTAGCTGATTAAAAGTCACCCTCTTCTTTTTTTTTTTTTCAACGTTTATTTATTTTTGGGACAGAGAGAGACAGAGCATGAACGGGGGAGGGGCAGAGAGAGAGGGCGACACAGAATCGGAAACAGGCTCCAGGCTCCGAGCCATCAGCCCAGAGCCTGACGCGGGGCTCGAACTCACGGACCGCGAGATCGTGACCTGGCTGAAGTCGGACGCTTAACCGACTGCGCCACCCAGGCGCCCCAAAGTCACCCTCTTCTAAATGAAAGACGCAACCCTAGCTGCCGATCATTAAATTATTAAATTCCCTATGGGGAGAGTTAAAATGTTTTCTTCACTGTAACTCATTTTGAAATGTAGAACATAGCTTTCCAACACGTGCACGGCACCAACTTTTTACCTGCAATAGTAAAGATACCAAGATGAGAAGAAATGCAGATTGAGTATTCCTTGTGTGTTTACATCTTTTCTCTCCTGCATATCATGACATTTGCTGTTTAAAAAGCCCTTTCTGGCAAGGGAGAGGCCGCCTCCTGGAGCAGCCCATTCTCAGAGACGGCAAAGGGCTCACCCGGGACCACGCCTGTCACCTGCCAGCTAGCAGTCCGGTGCCACGCCTCTTCCGTCCTGCCCACCACCCAGGAGGCAGCGTCCCTCTGCCTCAGTCGTCCAGGGCCAGGCACCAGGCAACGAGAGACCAGCCCCGGATCTCAGAGCCTACCGAAGCCGGTCCACTAGCCGGTCCTAAACCGTCTGCCGCGGCCGGCCTTGCCTCTCCTGAAGGACCCAATAAAAGTTCTGGCCTCACTTTCCCTTCACGCTTGTTTTCTGCCACGTGACCAAAGTCTCGTGCTTCCCTGTTCCGCCTCGTGGCATTCAGTGACCCCTTTCTAGGTCCTGTGAGTATAACAAACTTTGCTTTCTTGAGCCTGCGTCTTCTCTTGTGGCCACACCTGACCGCCCGTCACACAAAAGAACACAGCACACTCTGCAAACTCCCAGGACGGATCCGCTCAGCTGTCACTTCGGCTTCCTTGCAGTACCAGGCAGAACTCTGAACTGCCTGTTGTGAAGAATCCAAGTTCCACCGTAAGAAAGACAGCGAACTGGCACCGTGCCGGCACACGCAGTCACGAAACGTAGGGGGACAGGAAAGCAGGGAGACCACGCAGGAAAACAGGTGAGGTACCTGGGACTGGCCGCTAAAAACTGCTGGACCAGTCCGTACAGGGTGCCGTCCTAATCCGCCAGACCCCACGGCCCAGTGAGTCACAAAGTCGTCAATCTCTTCGGGACCCCAAGCCTCCCAGCCTCCCTCACTCCTGGCAGAGAAGCTCTAACCCACTTTACTAACAAGACCGAGACTTCAGCACAGCAGTGGCCACGGCCTCGCCCCTTAACTAAGCAGGCGTGCGCGGTCCACCTGGCCTCTCGGCATGTCACCCAAGTCGGAACCCTGGAAGGCTGGGGTACCACCTGCAGGTTCCGAAGTGTGGCCCGTGACCCACCCACACTGGAGTCATCTGAAGGATTTAACATGCAGCCCTGCCCACCAAATCAGTCTTAGAAACAGAGTTCAGGGGTCACACTTTTGACGGTCCCCCCCCCGCCCCGCCCCCAGCAAGTCTGGTATGCCATGAAGCAGGAGAACCGGGGCTCTCCTCGGCCTGCCGAGTGCTTGGCCCTCTCCCTACAACTCCGTGGCCCTGTCTTCCAGGCTCCTCCTAGCTCCCCACTATCTTCAGGCTGTTCTGTCCACTGGTGCCTTGCACCTAACATCGCTAAGTCATATATTTAAAAACGAGAGAGAAACACCTTTGTTTGGCCCTCTTGCTCCCTGTGGTGTCTCCCCTCTTCTACTCACTGACAAAACGTCTGCACAACTCCCTCCCTGTCTCCCAGCCCTCACGTATTCCTCACCCACTGGAGCAGAGCTGCTCCCGCTGGCCCAGGGTCATTAAAAAAGCGCTCAGCAGGGGCGCCTGGGTGGCGCAGTCGGTTAAGCGTCCGACTTCAGCCAGGTCACGATCTCGCGGTCCGTGAGTTCGAGCCCCGCGTCGGGCTCTGGGCTGATGGCTCGGAGCCTGGAGCCTGTTTCCGATTCTGTGTCTCCCTCTCTCTCTGCCCCTCCCCCATTCATGCTCTGTCTCTCTCTGTCCCAAAAAAAATAAATAAACGTTAAAAAAAAATTAAAAAAAAAAAAAAAAAGCGCTCAGCAAAAGAGGAGCGTTGTCATCACGTGACCTGGAACCACGCTGCAGGGCATCTCCCGGGCGTTTGTGAGACCAAATGCCCTTTGGCAGAGCAAAGTCTCTAAAAAGATCCGTGGTGTCGCCAACTATCTCCTTTTGTTTAATCTGGCAGCCCTTTTCGCGTAGAACACGCAGACTCGGTTCGGAAACGCGGTTTTATCTGCAGTGCTGCTTTATCTCCCACCTCCGACCCCCTCCTGCAGGTGCCCAGGACCACGGCCCCCTCGGCTTACCCAGGACACTGTGCGGGGAGATAGCACACACTGCTGCCTCATCTCCCAGCGGAACCCGGGACACTTTTGCGCAGCAGACTCCCCACGAGCAGGGGAGCACGTTAACAAGCATCCGCCATTTAAGTACTGATAAAAATCTCGACTACTCACATGCTTTCAAAGAAGAAACGTGTCACACGCCGACACAGTAAACTGGAACCCTAACCCGTACCTTGGAGTCTGCACGTTGCAGTGGTAGATGTACTCTGTCACAGTGTCATCGTCAAACATTGAAGAATACTTCCGCTTGAAGTCAGGCCTTAAACGCTGCACGAGACTTAGGCCTATGTAACAGGGAGTGAACGTTCTGAGTCACAGTCAACTGCCCGACTACCAGAGAAAGGTTTTGTGTTTGCTCCCAGAACGGGCGTTACACGCAGACACAGCCACGTGTGTTTAAGTGTATATTTTAGGTGGAAAAGAGCACAGGGCCTAGTAGCTGCTCTCCTCAGGTTCCCTAAGCATTAAAATAAGGAGTAAAGAGTATTCTACGTTGACTTACAGGTGTGTTTCAGGAGCTCAAAACGTACAAGTTAACTTTCTAAGACTTGTCTTCACAGGAAAATAAATTCCATTAAACGTGGCTCAAGTTAACTTATTAATCTTTAGTTCTCCCGCAACTGTAACCCATTAGCCTCTAAATAAAGTAAACAAACTGGGATATACAAGTCTTTCTGTGGAAAAATGAGCCGAGTCTCTGCGGGATTTTGGACACTTCCAATCCTCCCGGCTAAGGCCATCCACTCCTGAGGGGAGAAGTAGGGCCAAGGCCCCCAGAGGAAAAAGGATGAAGGGCAGAAGCTTCCATCTGGTCCCTATTGCCCCTACCGGGGCCCCAGGGGCTAGCCAGTTTCCCTTTCTGCTGTCACTGCCCATTATTCTAGCAAGGTCTTCTTCACCGGCCCTCCTTCCCACCTCTGAAGGAATTCTACAGCTCGGTGGAGAATTCTGATGATGTGGTTGACATTCTACATGACCCCCCCCACCCCGACCACGTGCAAGCAATAGTGGCAGACAGAGGGCATGGCGGGAGAGGGCCTCTCCTAAGGAGCCCCCCTCCCTCCCCAACTACTGTCTCCTAGTTTCTTTTCCTACTTTACTCTTCCCACACTGGCTGCCTGTGGAACTGTGATCAAGCGTAATCCACTTGTATTTCAGGACTGTACAGACTAAATGCAGTTTTGAATAGTCCATCAAAGGAGGACTGGACACCTAAGAGGAGTGGCTCTGTACTACTCGGTGGGGGGGGAGGGGGGTGGTGAAAGGGTTGTGGGGGGGGGCACAAAGGCTGTCTGTCAGAGCGCTGAGGAAGACTGCTGTGGTCACCAACCCAAACCCTGTGCAGTCCCGTGGTTCTCCCTATCCCAAAGAGGGGCCTAATACTTAGGAAGAGGGGAGCAGAACCTACAGCCACATCTGCAGCAGTTATTTCCACACCCTCCCCCATCCCTCTCTTCTCGTCTTGCTGACAGAAGCCGACTCTTGTCTGTGAGTTAGGCAGCAACATGCCCAGGTAAGTGGGCCCCTCACTCCAGCCCCTGGCAGCGGGTCATGATCGATCAGCCACAGATGCGTATTGTTCTTTGCCAGCGCAAGAACTAGGGGCGGGCAGAGACATCTGGGGAGGCCTGCTGGGGCCTTCCAAGGAAACTTTCTTCCCCGACAAAGAGCATTATGGGGAGAAGGCCATTTTCCACTCTTTCCTTTCTTCTTGCTCAGAGCGCTGCTTCGTGAGATGAGGCTTCCCGCCACAGCAGCCAAACAACGTGAGGAAAAAAGGTCAGGAAGCACAGCTGCAGGCCCCAAGGCCAACGTCAACGAGCCAGCTAGTACAACAAATGCTGACCACCTGCCTCCAGCCTGCTTGCTACGGGAACAACGAAAGGCCCTGTGGTTTAGACCACTGCGGTGTTCAGCTACTTGCGGCTAACAGCACTCCTCACGGATACAAGCGATGAGAGGGGAGCAGAGGTCCAGACCATCGCCATCGGGGACAAAGAGGAAAGGTAATTAATTCCCTTGGCTTTGGGGTGGAGACAGAGGAGCTGAGGGTGGAATCAGCTCTAAATCAGAGACTAACCCCTGTATTTCAAAATATGACCAGAAACACAGATCACGAGTCCCCAGAACCCCGGGTGGAAAAGGATGATTTTATCTTAACACTCTGACATTATGGGGCAAGAAGGGAATCTGGCCATACCCAGTTGCCCCATGGTCAATCAAGTCAGGCTTTGTGATCTGCCAGCTGCGTATTGCCAACTAGCCGAAGCCTCTCTAATATCACCAACAGGTAACAAGCTTCACTTCTTCTCCTCGTGCCCTGGGCTAGCTCACCTGCAGCGTTTCCTGCCTTCTCAGTTCTGCTAATTACCTGTAATGTTTACAGTATATTATATATATAAATCTACCTACCTACCTATCTATCTATAAATCTCCTCTTTGAGAAGATCCAGTTTCATTATCTTTATGAAAGGACTGGTACTTTTTAGAGAAGGAGGAAAAAAAGTAATTTAGTAAATTAGTAATTCAGAGGAGGAGAAAAAGATTCAGTCTGTTTTTAAGGTTCTGACCAACAGTGGCAATCAGTAAATACTCCTCTACTACCAACGTATAAACACATTGCTTTCCTAAGATGCGGATGCAAGCACTCACCGAAGGGGCCTGCGATCCTGAGGCCAGCCAAAGGGTTAAAGGGAGTCAGCGCTGCTCCCAAGGCTCTGATCCACACTGGGATTGGCCTGTCTTGATCGGCAAGGTCCGGCCGCTCAGGAAAACCCCAAGGCTCCACTAAAATGAGATGATTAACCCTGTAGGGAGGAAGAACAGAAACAATTTCATTTGGCAATCTCACCCCAGGACTCTAAAGAATTAACATGGTTTATAAAGCAAAGGTAGAATCAACCACCTCAAAAACTTTCATATTAAAGACAAGACTAATGGCTGACCAGTCACATCATGATCTTATTGCATGTAAATTTTCAGATGTGCTAGGAGCTGAGAGGTTTACGGGAGGAAGAGGGCTTCCTTTTTCCTGGAGGTAAACGTGGATAATAAAGGCTACAACAAGAGTAGCATCACAACAGTGGCTGACACCGTAGAAATGACTGAAGATTAATATTACCCTCGTAAAATAGCTTCAGATACCAACAACAGCGATCTCCTATGAAGCAATCATTCTAAAAATTTAAGAGGCATTAATTAGCACTTAAGGTGGGTTCAAAAGGACTTTTATTTTTATTTATTTATTTTTTTTAATTTTTTTTTTCAACGTTTATTTATTTTTGGGACAGAGAGAGACAGAGCATGAACGGGGGAGGGGCAGAGAGAGGGAGACACAGAATCGGAAACAGGCTCCAGGCTCTGAGCCATCAGCCCAGAGCCCGACGCGGGGCTCGAACTCACGGACCGCGAGATCGTGACCTGGCTGAAGTCGGACGCTTAACCGACTGCGCCACCCAGGCGCCCCTCAAAAGGACTTTTAAATAAACTTTCCATAAACACAGATAATGGGCTGAAATTTCCCCTAGTCTGGTAAGCATGAGCACATCTGCCCTACCCATGAGATCACAATACACGGAGAACAGATTCTGTTCCTAACCCTTTCCTAATTTTCTTCTATAATGACCAAAGACATAGAAAATTCTCAGCCCCATCTCACATAAAATCCTTTCCTATCACTAACAGCTCTAACTGTTCCATCTTATGAAACCTCCTCCTGACGAGGGAGGACCAGAATTCCCAGCAGTACTCCCACGTGCCCGCATCCGGTGTCACAGGCCATAAAGATCCTGAACAGGGCACAAAGGTCCTCACGACTCACGTGATATTCAGCGATAACCAAAACAGCCAACAAATGCCAGCAAAAACATCCCAAGGACAAATGGACAATGATTCCTACGTCCCTTCCCTAAGTCATGACTGAAACAGAAAGGTAAAGAAGCAGAACATGGGCACAGATGGCTATTATTCCCAACGTAAAATGTTTTACTGTCTTTGCCACCACAGAGAAGGATGAGTTGATAAGGAGTCCTTTGCTTTGACTGCATTTTCTCAAATACAAAGCTTTAGAGGACGGACCCAGAGCACAGAGCTCCAAGGGCCCTTGAGAACACACAGCCCAATGTTTCATCTCACAGATGAGAAGGAAACTGAGGTGCACTGGGTGACCTGCGCCGGGACATACGGCTACTTAATGCAGAAGTAGGGCTAAACCCCCATTTCCCGATTGCAGTAAACTAATCCGTGCCAACAGGCCATAGAGCAGAAGGTTCTCTCTCTCCCCCAAGAACAGGCCAAGCAACATAAGATGACATATCAGTAAAGGTAAAGCTTAACTTGTATCAACTCTAGGCCAGTCCGAACCCTGAAATACTAGATTTCAGAGCACTGAAAAGATGTGTAGAGTGTAGCTACCAATCTTGTGTGGAGATGTGTAACAAGTGAGCTTTCCATACACTTCACGAGACTATCTTCTACTGGCGTGTGGGAAGGGGATGAAAAGGAGTTTGTTTGCTTTTTTTTTAACGGCAGAGGCTAACTGATCATGGACTTCCTCCTAAATTCCTTATTACAGCCCACAGTGAGACCTGAGGGGCGGGAAGAGGCAGGCATGCCAGAGGTTTCAGTGGAATCAATGACACAGTCACCCAGTTGAAAGCAGCAGAGATTCCCATTAGGAAATAGCTCGTAGTATTCACTGTGACTCGGCTCCTGAAGAGAAAGATGAACTCTTTGTTAACACATATTTTACCTTAAAAACTTTAAGGTAAATTAAACTTTGTTATGAATTTCTTTGGGGGTCCTGCCCCGTCTCTTCTAGGCTCGTACTGATCTGCTGACCCAAGAAGGGGGAGGACGAAGGAAACTGTGAGGGAGGTCAGGTCCGGTCTATCTCTAGCTAAGTGACTGCCTGGTTTCTGCCTTAGTTTTGGCTTCCTGGTTTCATACAGATCTTCAAAATAGCATCCCTAGATAAAAATGCCAGTTTAACAAATTATGCAAAGTACACACACTAGAGAAGGCCAACTTTTTTTTTTTTTGAAGGGAGTGAATTGACCCAACAATTGTTTAGTCTTGTGTCTTCAGCAAAGCATGGTGCTTAGCACACGGCAGACGCTCAGCAAACGTTTGGAGTATCAGGTTGTTGCACGTTTCCACTCAGAAAGGAAAGCATGTAAGTATATAGAAACTTTATTAACTATACTCATAAAGTAAGCACAGCACTTAGTGCAAGTCTGGATTGTTTTGGTCACTCTTATTTCTTAGATGAGCCTTGCAGGCCACTACCCATTAGTGGGAGTGAGCCAGCTGCTCTTTTTAATTGTAGTTTGGAACAGAAAAATATTTAACAAGTGTGATACCATTCCATGGAACTTTTATCTCAGACACACACATAATTCTTAGCGAGAGAGTATTGTCAAAAAAAGTTGGAAAACAACTTTTTAAAAGTGCTGCCAAAACGTCTAGCCTGGAGTTATGTATCATCTGCCTCCACTCGATGTAAAAAGCCTCAGAAAAGAACTTGCTTATTTCTGGTTAGAAGACTTTTAAATGAGACAGACCATCAGAGCACTTAGGTTGTGGCTGTTAATAAATGTCCAGGAAATGTTATCCAGTTATAGCGGCAAAACTGGGAAGGCTAGTAGAGAAGACTTTTTGTAGGGCGCGTGAGAAGTCAGTGGCCAGAACCACGTGTGCCGTGAGGCACCGAACTTTGAGTCTTCAAGAAAGCCTGACCACAGGTTATTACAACCTCGCAGCAGTCCAAGTTCCCAGGCTACCTTCTCACCAGCTCTGCTGGTGACAAGATTACCTCCTTGCCTGACAGAAGTTATTTGGTTTAAATGTGTATCTAAACTTACAGTAATGTCGACCCAACCCTCTGACAGTCCACAGAGGACGGCCTGACGGGATTGTTGGCTCACATCCAGGATTAAGGAATGAGTCTAGCAAGACGGCATACATGAGTCACGCTATCAGACTTCTTCGCCAAGAAAGAGAGACTGATTCAGACGACAGGAAAAAGAACTGGCAGAGCAGGAAGGAGAGGAGAGCCTATCCGTTTCGAAACGCTTGAAGAGGCATTCTTCAAATCGGTCACCGGAGTAGGTCTTGAATTTGAAGATGGTGAGCACATTACAGCCCAAGGGCAGAGCAGGGGATGACCTCTGCTCCAACAGGCGGGGAGGAGGGGCTCTGAATGCCAACAAGGGTATTTTATATAAACCTGACTCTCATGGGCTTTAAGGTCAGCCACCAGCCAGAAATGATACAAGAAGACAATCAGGCCTAGAACCAAAGAGCACAAGGGAACCAAAGGACCCACTTACAGAAGAAAAGGAGCAGGGAAAGCCAGAGGAAGAACCCTCGGCCCCAAGGCATTTCCCGCCGGCTCCGCCTCTGAGGGACAAGGCAGCAGCTCCGAGAACGACGCACGAAAGACCCCCGACTTCAGGCCAAGTAGAGGAGCCTTTCTTCTCAAGTGGGGCTGGCAGGAGAATGCTCAGCCCATCTCTGTACCGTCAGGAGACAGAGCCAGGCAAGGCTGCAGGTCCCAAGACCTGAAAGTCATTCCGTGCAGAAGAAAGGGCCAGTCGTAACCCATTCTACTGTATCTATTCTCTTGGCCAAACACTTCCTAAATCAGTAAGTTTCCACACGGGCCTCTTCCGTAGTTTATGACAAGGTCTTTATGGCATAGTGCGCTTGGCTCACTCGGCTCTCTCCCATCCCCACCTTACGGGGGATCACACAGCCTGAAGAGGAAGGTAGTGGGATGGCAGCCCATGACGCCTCACGCCGCGAGTGGCCCTACTGTTTGTGACACAGCACATTAACCTACAAATGAAACTACGATGGCATCTCTCATACACATCGTGGTAAGCGAACCGAGATGAACGAAGGTCATTTGGGGGATGGGACATAGCAACTGTGCCCCCGTTTAAAGAAACCTACAAACCGGTTTGTAACCCCTCTGCTCACCAGCCACATGGCCTTTCCAGAAGGGCCCAAGCTGTCCGCCTAGCAATTTCTTTTCCCACTGCCTAGAATGCTCTCCCCTTGAGACTCAACCTCAGCTTACACTGCACTTCTTCAGGTGTCATACTGGGCCAGGTTCTCCTCCAGAGCTCCCACGGACCTGCCCACCCCCTTCACACCACTCAGCAGGTTAAGTTGTATCTCTTCTCCAGCACCTCTTAAGCCTTCTAAACACATACAGTCTCTCAACATTCGTTAGGGGCGCCTGGGTGGCTCAGTCGGCTAAGCGTCCGACTTCAGCTCAGGTCGTGATCTCGCGGTATTTGGGTTCAAGCCCCGCGTCGGGCTCTGTGCTGATGGCTCAGAGCCTGGAGCCTGCTTTAGTCTCCCTCTCTCTCTGCCCCTCGCCAGCTCATGCTCTGTCTCTCTCTTTCAAAAATAAACATAAAAAAACTTATATAAAAAACATTCTTTTAACATTATATTCCAGCAGGTTGGTTGTGTTTAAGTATTTCATTCATTACCAATATTTCAATGGAGGAATCATCCAGGTGCTTTTCTACATAAAGCATCACAACTGCTGAACGCTCAGTTCTCAACCAGTATTAAGAATTGGGAAAATACGTGACTGCCGCCACAAGTTAGGCCACAAAACAACTTTTATGGACAGAGACACTCTGCTGCTCATAGACATGAAGCATCTTATGTTGACCGAATGAAGCAAAAATTAGGAAAAAAAATGGATCGGGTTTTATCTGTTCTCTAGCAAAAGAACGCTTCCTAAACAAGTACATTAAACTAGTGAACTATGCACTTTCATTCTGTACCTCAAACTGCCCTATAAAAATAAAAAAGGAAGAATGAGGCCACCCATAAAAGATGAGAACAGAAATAGGTATGGACTGTTGTCTTTGGGTTTGTTCCTGCACGCGTAGAAAAAATTGTTTTACTTCAGAAAGAAAAAGAAAGATCGTATTTGTTATACTGGAGGAAACAAAGAAAAAGGTAACTCTCTCAGAGTCCATTAGGAGAAAAAACAGAGACACAAGAAAAGATGCACAGTGAGTGAAGGAAATTAAGTGCATCTCATCTGATCTCAAGTAGATCATTTTTTCCTTCTTCTCAACCCCCGCCCTGCAAAATCTTTCTGAAAAGCAAAGATTTATATATTTTAATGTTTATTCATTTTTGAGAGCGAGCGAGCGAAGAGAGAGAGAGAACATGAGAACACAGGGGAGGGGCCGAGAGAGAGGGGGACAGAGTAGCCAGACCGGGCTCTGCGCTGACGGCAGTGAGCCAATATGGGGCTCAAATCATTGGCTCACATCGTGAGATCATGACTTGAGCCAAAGTTGGATGCTCAACCGACTGAGGCACCAGGGTGGCCCTCAAAGATTTAATCTCATGACAGCACAATATAAATGGTACCTGTGGGAAAGGCTATGTGTAGTGTAGAGGCGGGAATTATACAGGAAATGTCCGTACCTCCCTCTCAATGTGGTTGTAAACCTAAAACTGCTCTAAAAAAAATGAAAATCTTTTCAAAGAGCTGGATCAAGTGAAAGCTGGGTAAGAGACATTGAGAGTAGGTAGTTCCATACTCAGTTAATACTGTTAAAAGATAAAGCAGGCATATTGAAAATGTCCAGAGTTTATTTGAGCAAAAATTTGAATGTGGCAGTGAGTGGTTAGATATGCTCCAGCAAAAGGAGCGGGGCAAAGACTTAACGTAGAGAATGTGTGGAAGCAAAGAGAGTAAATTATCTGACTGGCTGTAGGTTGAAACTAAGTTGGCTACTTGTGATTGGTTGTTTTTAGGTTTCAATTTCATAACCTTGAGGCAATTACAGGCTTAGATTTCAATTTGCTTACGTAGGCCACGAGAGCATTACAGCCACCTCAGTCTGATGGCCTCCTTGTTTCATGAACTTAACACTGGGCACCACCATGTGCCCAACCACAGTGGTCTGACTAAATGTCATGCATGATTTGGGATACCTGAAAATCCAGAGGACCTCACTATTTTGAAATTAACCTGTGTTTAATAATGTAAGTTATACAGGTAAGAATATAGGCTTGAATAGCCAACATGGTCTATAGACTTCTTCTCAAATACTGGGTAGCAATCGCTCGATTTCAACATGCTAATTATTTCAAGCATTCTCTTGGTGCTTCTCGGTCCTGACACATTTCTTTAGTTTTATTTCTAGCATTAGGCACAAGCATTCAAAACGCATTTTCTAAAATGCAGCCCACTGCAGGAACCACTGGCTTGCTTTCAGAGACTTGTGCTGCCCACCATGTCATTCAAAGTATGTTGCTGTTCTCTTTCATAGAAAGTTTTAAGGTGCTCATTCTTCACTGGGTGTTGCATGTAAGTGAAGAATCACTGAAGTCTATCCCTGAAACCAGTATTTCACTGTATGTTAACTAATTAAAATTTAAATAAATAAATAAACAAATAAAAACAAGTGCTCATTCTCTTTTGAATCACTGATTTCTTCAGAGTACTTCGTAACTGCAAATGAAACTCTCACCGACCGACCTAAATAGTAAATAGCCATGGAGGGCCAGGATTCACCGCCAGGGTCTATCCCACATAGTCCTGTATCACATCGCCAAAGAATAAATACCACGAGAGAAACATAATAAACCCCTGATAAGAAACAAAGGAAGCCCAGCCCCCCTGCAGAGAGCCCCCTGTTATCTTTTACCTGAAAAGTATCCAATTCCTTCCCTTACTTTCCACTATGAGTAGGACACAGTAGAAGATAGTAAATTCCAAAAGCCAACTAGAAACAGAAAATTTGCTGGATTTTTTTGGAAGAAGGGGTCTGTCGTTTGACAAGACTACAACCGGCTAGCACACCCAGGACTACAAACTCTCCAAAGGGGGGAAAGTATTAGAGCTGAAGTTGAGACAAAGAACGTGTACAGAAGAAGCCACTGTTTGAGGGAAGAAAACCTCAGGGACGCGGGGCTGCTGCCCCACGCTTCCAAGTGTCGACAGCACACCTGACGTCACGTGACGGGGCGGCCTCAGAGGTGCGTGCATGCCATCTGAAAACAAACGACCATCATCCTAGGTTTCATTCACAGACCTCACTGTCAAAGTTGGCTGCAATTCTGGATTTAAAAATTAGTCTAATGAGAAAATGCACTGGCAACATAAAAATGTTAATTTTTTTTTTGTCTCTTTCCGAATGATAAGGAAAAAAAAAAAAGCTTTTCTTCTATTTTCTTAGCACTCAAATGTGACCTTCACTCAGAGCTGAAACAAATAGGAAATAGCACAAGAAAATAAGGTAAACAAAGAAAGCAGAAGTGCAAAGATTCTGAAGCAAACTTCAAGTCATTAATTCAAAATGACTCTGAAAAATAAATCTGTAACAATAAAGGTAGGGCACAGATAATAAAAACCCTGTCAGATACACTATGCGGATACATTTTCTGTAGTTTACAGGTGAGAAAACTGAAGCTTCCAGGCTGAAGGATTTGCTCTAAGCCAAAAAATAACATTGGTCCCCAGGACTTCTAATTTCTCACCTTTGGGTTCCTGTTACACTTTATTATAACCTGAAAAAGGTTAGTAAAAGCCTGTTGGGCCCAGAGATCTAATGATAACAATAACAACAAACAATACCACTAAACAATTCTTTTTTTTTTTTAACGTTTATTTACTTATTTTTGAGAGAGAGAGAGAGAGACCGACCGTGAGATCATGAGCAGGGGAGGGGCAGAGAGAGAGGGAGACACAGAATCGGAAGCAGGCTCTGCACTACAGTGCACAGCCTGATGTGGGACTTTGAACTCACAAACCATGCAATCATGACCTGAGCCAAAATCAAGAGTTGGACACTTTAACCAACTGAGCCACCCAGGCACCCCACCACTGAAACAATTCTTACTTGTGGTTTAAATTGTAGACACTCTCAAGTTTGGCAAACAGAAAGTCCTTTCCTGAAGCCTTCTACCAATGTTTAGCAAGTGTAACAAGAAAACACTGACATCGTTATTTCAGCCACTAAACTGGCCACTGTTGTGCCTATTTGGTCTCAAGGATCCTGTAAGAGAATCTGTCTTGAAAGGCTCAAACACCAACAACCACCAAAGACAGGCTAGCAGAGACCAGCAGTGGCTGTCTCTCTCCTGTCACCATCACTTACCTTGAGGGGTACTTCAGTGAGTAAGCAGCAGCCAAGAACCCACCCAGGTTGTGTCCAAGCAAGATCATTTTGTCCAATCCCAGGGCACGTCTCCACTCTTCGATGGATTCCACAAACTGATTCTCCACTTCTTCCGCATCACTGTCAAACCTGGGCCTGCTACTTCGTCCAAAGCCCAACAGGTCAAAGGCATAGATGGGTCTATCGTTGCAAAGATCTCCATAATTCAGTGCCCAGAGTCCAAGACCTCCTCCAAAACCATGGAGGAGGACAAGTGGAGTCTTGTTTGAAATATTGTGAGAGAACTTCAGTGTCCATATCTTATTCCCATTCGATATACAAACAGGTTCTTTCTTGTATGTGCAGGGGACACCTAATGAAAACATAAAAAAGAAATTCTGCTTAGTTTCCCTACTTCTCCTGAGAAGAGGAGTATTCTCAGAGCAATCAGAAATTAATAATCTTCTAGACTGGTATCAATTCAAAGGATTTTAGCCTTTATTAGGTCATTCCAAAAAAAAAAAAAAAAGCATACATCTTATTGAAGCAAGTAATTCTCATCTAAGTGGGAAGATCTATCTCAGGGAAGTCTCAAGTACCTGCCGCCGAGGTCTTTTCGCAAGTCATGTTAGTTCTTTGGACTTCTTTTCACATCTACCAAATGAGGGTCTGAGGCTTCTAGAATTGGAGAGGAACTTAGTGCTCATGGACCCGCTGTTTGGAGGTCTCTAACTGTGCACACTATAGCAAAAGAATACCTTGAATCTGTCTAACACTGGAAGATTAATCACTGAAGACTGAAGTCAGACTCAAAAGAAACATTTTTCCCTAAAAAGTGACCAGGAATTTAGGGAAGGACTAACAGTATCTGTATTAAACACATAACCGGAATCTTAAGTCATTTCAAAGTTTAGTAGAAAAGAGGTGACAGGGTATGGCAGGCAGTCTTGGCATGAAGTTTTGGTTCAAGTCCAACAATAATGCAAATAATCACAGTTTTGTAGATAAAAACTTTTACTTGCCTTCAGTGCTGTGGGACTCAACAGTTTAAATCTCCCCCAAATTGACTCAAGACAAAACCAATTTGAAATTCCTTTCTGTTAGATTATCAACTGAATTATTGACACTTTAGATATACTACCTACTTGCCCGTATTCACCCGTAGTGGACAAACACCAAAGAACTGGGAGTTTCTGCCCTTCAGCCAAACAAATAATCTCAGGTTTTGTACCACACAGTAGCAGTAAAGAGGAAACTCAGCATTCATTCAGAATAGTAATGGAGCCCAGGCCTCCAAGTGGGGGGAAATGCCGTCGGTTTAGAAAAGGACATGATCCAGCATCGGTACCAAAGCAAACCACGGCAGCATTTTGAACACAGATGTCTGCGTATTCCCATCAACACCAACTGTAACCCCTATTGGGTAGCTCACCCCACTTGTTTTCACATCTGACACTGAACCAGGGCCCGATTCTCATTCCTTTTTGCACCCCCAGACTCTCTCGGTAAGGAATCAGTAGGGAACCAGTAAGCACCACTGCCAGGAAATATATACCCAGAGATACCAGGACTGCCCTGCCCCAACAGTGCAAGTTTGGGCAAATTTCAGTGCTCGTAAGAAACTTTAAAAACAGGTTTCCACACCACTGAAACGCAGAATTAAGGAATCCTACGAAACTAGCACCAGAAGGAACTCTAAGGATCATCCTGCCCCTTCATTTTACAGGTAACAAATGGGAAACTGACAGTGGCTTATCCAAGATCCTGACACCACCAGATGGCAGGTTGGGCCTGGACCAGGTTACCTTGTTCCAGTCCAGTAAGTGCTTCACCACACAAGGCCATGTGTTCTGAAACACCTAGAGCATGTGATCAGGCATAGTCAGGATATCTGGGGAGTCCCTGAGACCCTTCCCGGAGATCTAGGAGGTCAAAACTGTTTTCATGACAAAACTAATTTTTTACTCTCATTCTTTGATGGGTATGCAGTGGAGTTTCCAGAGATCACATGGATGTGATTACCAACAGTCTTAAAGCAGAAGCAGATCCGACAATCCAGTTAACCTTATATTAAGCCAAACGTTAAAGAGATTTGCACACAATGCTACTTTTCTCGCTACATTTCTGCCTGGGAAGTAGTTATTTTTAGAAAACATGAATCTGTAATAGGTTTCTTACTATTACTTTAAAATGAATAAATTAACATATTTCAAATAATTCTATTTTAATTTCTAGTTGGTAAACATTGATAGCTATAACTGATAAACAAAGCTCTTTAAGGTCCTTACTAATTTAAGTCCTTTAATTAATTTAAGAGTATAGTGGGGGGGGGGCGCCTGGGTGACTCAGTTGCTTCAGCGTCCAACTGCGGTTCAGGTCATGATCTCACCATTCGTGGGTTCAAGCCCCACGTCGGGCTCTGTGCTGACGGCTCGGAGCCTGGAGCCTGCTTCGGATTCTGTGTCTCCCTCTCCCTCTGCCCCTCCCCTGCTTGCACGCTGTCTCTCTTAAAAATAAACATTAAAGGGGCACCTGGGTGGCTCAGTTGGTTAAGCGTCCGACTTCAGCTCAGGTCATGGTCTCACAATCCATGAGTTCGAGCCCCGTGTCAGGCTCTGTGCTGACAGCTCAGAGCCTGGAGCCTGCTTTGGATTCTGTGTCTGCCTCTCTCTCTCCCCCTCCCCTGCTCATGCTCTGTCTCTGTCTCAAAAATAAATAAAAACATTAAAATTTTAAGAAAAAAAAATAATAAACATTAAAAATTTTTTTTTCTTAAAGAGTATAATAGGTACCCAAGACCAAAAAGTTTGAGAACCCCTGCTTCCCAGTGTTTCTGCACTTGTTAATAACATGGTAAAGGGAAAAACAGACCACACACAGAACCTTATCTCCAGTTTCTGGGCAATGTGACCTATGAGATCTAGTTCAGCAAATAGCTCAGTTAACTTACAGGAAGAAAACCTTACATTTTAAAATTTTCTCTTCAGCTTCTTTAAGGTGTGATGTAGATGTAGGGCACCAGGTGGGAAGCCAACCAGTTAGCCATCCTGACCTAGAGCATCAAAAACAAAATACAAAGAGAGATGTTAATGCTCTTCTCAACTCCCAGCTGTCACATCTGAAGAAAAGCAGAACAGGAAACTTATCGTCTATGTGACGGTGAAGCTGTCTACCTGTGGCACAACCCACCTAATACATACAAAGCATTGTGGTAAAGTACTGGGCAGCAGACATTCGACTTCAGCCTGTGAACCTACAGGTAGACATGGCTGGCCTGCAGTGACCTGGTTAACTGTTGATGAAAAAGCTTCAGGGTCCAATAAATAGTAGATGAAAAGAATGACCCAGGTATCTGGCAGGGGGGACAGAAGCAAGCCTGAGGCAACCAGTAAGGCAAGGTGTGGGGACACGAGAAAAGACAGGCTTTGCTAGTAGCTAACGAAGGAGAGGATGAACCTTTAACTCCTGGCCTGGCAGCAGCAGACCACAAGCTCATCCTAACAATCTGGGAAAACGCAAAGCGTCAGCAGTTCTGTGACAGTTAGTGAGAGCTAGCTCCTGACCAGGAATATCCAAAGTGAAGAGCTTCCCGATTAAAGAGAAAATGAATCCAAGAAGGAAGAAAGACAAACCACTGCAGCTTCCAGATGAGAGGTATGGGCCTAAACCAAGGCTATGGCACCAAGAAGACGAGGCCAAGGAATATTTAAAAATAAAACAGGCTGAAGGATACAAACTAGAAGATACAACTAGAAGAGGCCTAAGTTCTGGAGATCTAAAGCATAGCACACAGACTATGGTCTGTAACATGCACACTTCAAAACTAAGAGACCAAATCTTAAATGTCACAACCTCAAAAGAAATGGCACTTATGTAATGTTGTAAGAGGTGTTAGCTAAAGTGTAACCAGACTGCAGTATATAAATGGTATATAAATAGTGTCAAATCAACACAGTTGATTTGTTGATAAACTTATACAATGTTATATCAAAGGGGGAGGGTGGAATCTAATGGAGGAAACAGGTGACCCAGCAACTATAATACATGATGGAATGAATTCATTCCACAAGTACTTAACTGAGCACTTAACTATCTGTGAGGAACTATTTTAATCACTTGGGACATAACAATTATCAAACAGAGGTAAGAGTGATTAGTTCTCCTTGAGGGCATCAGAGAGTTACTTTTGAGCTACATCTTCTAGGTAAACAGGATTCAGAGTGGTAATTGAGGCATCCCCCATGAAGGGCATGAGCACAAGCACATAAGGAAGTGCATGATGTGTGTTCTCAAGTAAGAAGGGCATCGTTTCCAACGGCGGCTATAACAAATTAGAAACTTCATAGCCTAAAACAACAGAAATTTATTCAGGGCCACACTCCCAATAGAGGCTCTATCAGAAAATCCTTGCCTCTTCTGGGTTCTGGTGACTGCCGGTATTCTTTATCCTAAGGCAGGGTCACTCGATTGTCCCCATCCATCACCACACTGCCTTCTGTGTGACGTCCTTCTCCCTGTCTGTAATCAATCTCCCTCTGCCTTTCACTTATAGAATCACTAGTGATTGCATTTAGGGCCCACCCAGACATCCCAGGATCATCGCAGTTTTCAGAGTAATTGTAATTAGTTAAATTAAAAGTCTGCAGAATCTTTCCCATATAAAGTAACATTCACAGGTGCCAAGGATTAGAAAATGGACACGTCTTTTGAGACCATTACCTTTGGGGACCACTACCACAGATGTAAAGCATGGAGTATACTCCAAGATAAAATATTTATTTATTTATTTAATTTATTTACTTACTTATTTTTAATGTTTGTTTATTTTGAGAGAGACAGACAGCATGAGTGGGGGAGGGGTAGAGAGAGAGAGAGAGAGGGAGGGAGGGAGGGAGAGAGAGAGAGAGAGAGAGGGAGACACAGAATCGGAAGCAGGCTCCAGGCTCTAAGCTATTAGCACAGAGTCTGACGCGGGGCCTGAACTTGCCAACTGCGAAATAATGACCTGAGTCAAAGTCGGACATTTAACCGACTGAGCTATCTTGGGCGCCCCCAAGATAAAATACTGAAACATTCAATAAATGGTAGTTGACATTATACTGATGACAACAGAACAATTCACTAAAATTATGTGATGTTAATCAGTAATTCCTAAAATGAGAGTTTTAAATAAGGTTCAGAAGAACTTTGAAGATGGAAATTGACAAAGAATGGTCATATTGCATCACTCCTTACCTCCAAGGTAAGGCTACTTCTAGCTACCTACAATAGGAAGCTCAGCCCTGCTCCAGCCTTTTACTTGATATTCTAGTGTCATCTTTGCCATTCTTATTCTGTTTCTGGCCACACAATATCCCCTGTTCTCTTGCTTCCTGGGCCTGAATAGCCTTACAACATGTCTCTCCCCTTCTTGTCATGATCCATTATACCTCTTACCACCCTCTGATTCGATTTCATTTCCCCTTTGCCCACATACCCAAACAGGACGAGATCAAGATGGCAGGACTAACACCCAATACACAAACTCTATTCTCTTCCTTCTCAAGTTGTGTTATAACGTTCATATTTATTCATCAATATGCTCGCCCAGCTGTAAGATCCTTGAAGGTAAGGACTCTGTGTTCACCAATGTATATTACCATACATTGCTGTTGTAAATGAAGTTATTGCTTCACCTGAAATGTATTAGCTACAGTGAATTACAAGTGGATCACTTGAATATAAGAGAATTTTCTGAGATGGCAGTGACATTCTCTAAACAGGTGGTTGAATTACACAGATGTATGCATATGTCACAATCCAGCAAATAAACACTTAAGATGTAAGCATTTCATCATAAAATTTTATACTAAAAAAAGGAAAACAGCCTGGATTTGATAACTGGTTGGATATAAAGAAGGTGTAATAGAGGATTTCCAGGTTTCTGACTCAGGTACCACTAATAACCACACAGAACGCACAACTAGGAATAGGTGTGAGTAGAGAAATCCAGCTTTTTCTAAGCTTTGTAGGTCCATGCTACATTTCCCTGTCCTATAGAATCTCTCTGGGCATTATGTATTATAGCCGCTCAATAAATGTCTGCATAATGATTAAGTCACTCAGAATCCAGGGTATTTTCGGTCCAAGTTATCCCCATTTTGCAGATGTTAAAAGTAAGGTTCAGAAATGTTAAGCACGACATCCAAGGGTATTAGGGTAGTAAGGAAGTGACACAAGTAGAAATTTAAATTCAATTCTGTCTGACTTCAAAAGCTCTTTTTTCTCAGGTGACTATCTTCCTTAAAATGAGTGAGGAATTGTCATGACCTACAGGACAAAGTCACAGGACAAAGGCACATTCCTTAGACCTGCAAGGCAAAGAAGACACATAGTAGCCTACATTCTAACCAGGCTCCACTCCAAATGTTCTCTGTGCTAGTTTCAAACCTTCTACATTAACAGGGTAAGATGATATGACCCCTAGGCATCTCCCACAAATGATACATAGAACTTATTAAGATATAAACATAATAGAAAACATCATTATTAGTCTATAAATATATAAGGCTATTTACAAATTATCAAGGAAAAACAATTCAAAGTTTTAGCAATGAGTTTTTCAATCATTCAACAATTTGTCAATTGTTGGCAAAAAAAGCAGTTAACGGGCAGTTAAAAGAATCTCCTGATATTTAGAGCTTAAAATTTAAAAAGTAAACCATTATTAAACTGAAGTTCTTCTGTCCTTGACCAGGAATGGTCATCAAAGTCTGTTAGGCCGCAAAAATATGAGCTAGTACCAAAAGGAAGCTACTTATAACTCAATCTCATCATTGTTCTTATATATCCCTCAAACCATAGCATAGTTCTTTGCCAGAATCAGAGGTTGGTACTCAACAAACAAACAAACAAATAATCAAACAAATAAAGTGAAATGAACTATAATCTACTAGTGCTCCAAAAGATATCACAGACACGTTGGGGCAAAGAAAACACAAATGCAGTCTTTGTTTCTGTCTTTTTTTTTTTTTTTGTAAGTTTATTTATTTTGAGAGAGAGAGAGAGATAGCACACAGACGTGCACACAGGAGTGGGGGGAAGGGCAGAGAGGAAGAGAGAGAATGCCAAGCAGGCTCCACCCCCAGCACAGACCCTGACCCAGGGCTTGATCCCATGAACCGTGAGATCATGAACTGAGCTGAAATCAAGAGTTGGATGTTCGACCTACTGCGCTACCCAGGTGCCCCATGTTACAGTCTTTTTGAAAAATTTACATTCTCTGAATACCTGCTATGTACAGGTCCTCGAGTTTAAAATGTTATACACCAGCCTGCAATATAGGAATTATGCCTACAGCAGCTTTCAAAGGACAGATCTGGTCCACCCATCTTTGCCTCCTGATGATGGGCTTAACTCAAAGAGAAAAGGCAAAACAGCATTTTTATGTTTGCAAGTCTAGTGCATCACACTAAAACTCAGGGCTTTTCAACCACAGGAGCCACCAATCCTGTTCAGGTTTTCAAGGCAACCTTTTCATCGAAGCAGCTAATTGTTTTTAAGTGAATTTTTCTGAAGTACATTTAAACTGAAAAATCTATATTTAACAGAGCATAGTAAAATATTTTATTTTTACTCATTAGAACTGTAAAGATACTCCTAAGCCTTGATAGTATTTCTGTCCAATCAGTTTTGCCTAAACCAGATGATAATATGTTTTATAGAAACTGTCTTCCTTCTTAGAGGTACTCCACATGATTGACTCCAACACATAATAGGCTCAAAGGAACATTTCTAAAGAGTACAAAGCTGGGGTCTCTCTTTTCTGTCCTTTTCTTGATCACTCTTCATTCCCAGTTCCCAGTCTTGAGCTGGCCACCTCTATTGCTTCAACCCTCCAAGACACTCATCCAACTTCGCCTTCTGCCTTCTGGGTATAAACCTCATCTTCTAAGAGACCCTCTGCCCCTTCCACAAGATCTCCTGTGTCCTCCAGTGTTGTTCTGCATCGTAGGCTTGGTGCGTGAAACTGGCCCTAAGGACACAAGGCTGAAGCCTGTCAGATACCCAGCA